AATCTCTCACTGTAATAAGAGATGTCAAGACAACTTTAGGATGCTAAATTGATTTCCTTACACTGTTAATAGTCCCTATGTTTGAGCACTGATTTCCAGGATAGGAGCCCAACAGATGAGTAGTCATAAGCATCCACATGTTCTGGATCCTAAAGATGAAGAAAGGCACATTTTAAGCCTTGTGAAAGTTCTTTGAAAAAAAAATAACATTAGGATCTGCAAAGCAAAATGCAGCAAATCTGGGGATATTTGTTTGTAGAGCCTCATATTTAAAATATGGCTGTCCTTACCCTTAGCCTACATGCTACTATAAATTTTACATGAGTGAAAAATATGGGAACTGCATCTCACTGTATCTCCAGTACTTTCATGCACCCACAAACACATATTTAATGATATGCAAGTTTGATTTCACTCTGTAGTAAGACATGCATGTAGAAAGAATAATTAGTTCTAGGTTATTGTAATTCTATTTTATAGGGCAAGGTTTCATCATGAAATATAAGCATAAATACTAAGCATATTAATTATGCACTGGATGGGTTTCATCTCATTATTTCATCCAAACCTGCCAACATGTCGTAGCTGCAGCTGTTCCTGAATTTATGATAACATAAGGTTCTTACACAGTGAGTGATTTTATCTCCAGGTACTACTTTGCTGAATATACCATGATGAGGAGGATGAAGTAATTCTAAGAAATTAACCAACATTTAATGAAAATACAATAGGCTAGGGTTTAAAACTGTGTGAGGGTCATAACGACACAGAGGTATTTTAAATTAGGAAATGCTTCTATGACACATCACAAGTGGAAGTTCTAGATACAACTATGATTCACATGACACTTTTCCTCAACTCGGACCCCTTTATATATAAACAGAAATATACAGTGCACCATGCTGTTGCTCCTTTGTTGATATATAAGTACCTAATATGAATTATACTCTCCTACTAAGGCTTGGCTTTAGCTAGCAATTGAATAAATTCTCACTTGTGTCTTGAAAGAACACATGGCAAGGGGTTGCTTATATGTACCCCTCACACCACACATATATACGTGCAGTAAAGGTAAAAAAGAAAATCAGCTTTTGGCTTTTCTTTTCTTTTTTTTCCCAATACAAATCTGGCTGTTCCCCAATACATGTTCAATTCATGGCGCGTTCTGTTAAACTTGGTAGGGCTTACTTCTGAGCAGATATGCACAGAATTGTGCTGTGAATGTCTCGGTAGACTGAAAATGATACCTGGAACAATAATGTTCATTGTAATGCTCTGTACAAGCATGAACAATAACCTGTTGTCTCTCATGCTGGCATGAATTTGTTTCTGCTCATTAAAGAGCAAAAATAAATGGAGAAAAATGGGAGTTAGGTACCTTACGGGAGCAAGTCTGGACAAGTTATTTCATTGAACGACAGATTCCCAGAACTGTTCACCATGGTAATTTTTCTGCATAATACATAATATATGCTGATTCAATCCACAAGTCAGGAACCATTGGATTTAAGTGCATAATAATCTGTTGAAGCAGAGACTACCTCAAAATTTGGTGAGTTTTGCTGGTTAATCAGCCAAAACCACAACAAAAAGCCTAACAAGATAACGGCTCAAATCCAGTAGTACCGGTAATTCAAAACTTGAAGAAGCCCACTGAATCAATAGAGCTTACATAAATGTTGATTCACCAAATCTCCACTGTGTCAATGAGCCTCCTCTGGTTACATCTTACTAGTGAATTCCAAACAATTAAAAGTAAATTATAATTAATTGTTTACAGGTTTAAAGAGCTAGTTTTTTTTTAAAAAAAGATGCAGTTCTAATCGTTAGATTAGATCCATTTGTAGCAGCCTTGGACAGCAATTTATACCCAGGTCCCAATGCAGCTAATACTCAGTTTTGTCTGGATATTGCATAGAGTGCATATGGCATATCATCAATAAAAATGATTTACAACAAACCATAACATTATTCATTCCCCAATTTCCGGAGACCACATTTACTGTAGTTATGAAACAGCAATGGGATATAGACTGTGGGACAGGAACAGCTTAAAAGGCCAGGGACAAAGTACTCCCATGAGCAAGGACAGCACTCAAAATATATACTGGATTCCCCCCCCCCACATGTCCATCTTGTAAAAAGAAAAGAAAAAAGAGCAGCTGATATTGGACAGTTAATAAAATACAGTCTCCTATTTCCTCTAGAACAAGGTAAGTTAAAGAAATGGGTCATGGACGCATATTGAAAATGTACTCTCTTACAAAAGCATGCTGAATAAATGTTCTAAATAAGTGATTCATTTTCTGTCATCTTTGTCTTGGAAAATCTGTGAGAAGCAAAGCATCAGAGATCTACCGAAGTTAGTCTTTCGATGTACTGTTTTTCATACTTCCCCCCCTTCCCCCCATTTTTGAACCTTTTTGTATGTCAGTTCATCTAGTAGGATCCCTGCATTTTTAGATCCTAAGGAGCATTTTCTTTTTTTTTAAAGTCAAATCATGCTAAATATATCGGAAGACATACATGTGGGCACACAAGGACACCAACTTATTCTCATGTAATAATCTCTGCCTCAACAACAATAATGTCTCCAGATGGGTGCAAGGATGCTCAAAGAATACCCTGGCACATTGTCTTTTAATAAATACAAAGGCAGCATTCTATTGGTTATATGCCAGTCTAAATTCAACAGCATTAACCACAACAGTGAATTGTTGCCAGTTAATGAGTTGTCACTTGTATTCCTCAGGGTATGCCAGTCTCTGGTTCACAGTGACAAATATGGGTACCCAGCACTTTCACCTATGCCACTGTGTTTACAAAGCCGTAAATAGCCAATAGGATAGGATTCTTTTATGTCTTGAAAACATAATAAAATATATTTGCTAAATAAAACCCCACCCTGAAATTATATTAAAATTTGCATTTAAAATTGCATGTAATAGGCGCATTTGAAAGATCACCATACTTCCATTTTTTTTGTATTTCAGCTGTGTTGTGCTGACAAATAAACAAAGGGGGGGAATCAGTACTGCTTTTATTATTTTGTTCACCATCTAAAGAACATAGCTTATTCTAATTCAACAAGTTTCTAGAGTTTCTTTTTCAATTTATACCAGTTCTATTACCGTGTATGTGCAAGTAATTTCGAGTTCTTGTTGAATGATTTAGCCAAATGATTTATGAGCAAAAGTAGATGTGCATTTAAGATTATATTTACAAGAGTGAATCCTTCATTATAAAAGTAATTCTGTTCATGACATTAAACACTTCCAGATTTTTTTTAAAAAAAAAATAAATTAGATTGAAACAAAGCATTCCCAAGGCAACATGAAATGAGATAGTGTGTGAAATGATAGAAAAGCGGTCTAAGTGGTATATGCAGGGATAAGAGGTTCATGACTAAAAGCAAATTCTCGTAACAAGATTTTGAATTTGAGTGGTATATAGGAAATTCAGACAGGACATCTTAAGTGAAGAGCAGATTCCTTAAGGAAAAGTCAGGCCACATAGTTCTATAGTTCACACCATTCTAGTAAGCATTCTGAGGAGTTGTGGGGAAGGTGGCTTATCACACATTTATCTACACCATCTTCAAACGGCATACAAATCTGTGGTCCCATAGACGCTTTTCATTCCCCCCTACCAAAAAAATCCATCTAAAAACAATGTTCCCACCAGAGCAAGGGCACAGATTACACATCAGCCACAACCACAGGGTATTTATATACCAGCACTTGTAGGGAGAGCTGTGAACAAAAATGCAGTATATGCAGCTGAAACAATATGTATTATCTGATTCTTGAAATTGTTATTCTTTTTAACTATAAGCAGACTTTATATCTAGCAGAAAAGGAAGGGGTGGTGTTATGAATCTGTGTGTACAGTACTGTATGTTGCCATCTGTGCTGTGGGGAAAAGCTACAATTTGAAACCATGGGGACGTTTTGCTCATGATGCTTTAAGTCCCCACAGGTGGTCATAGTTTAATATCTATTTAGCATGTTTCTTGTTTGCTACACCTGCACTGTGCTTGGCCCAGGGACAAATTAGCCATTTTGCCTCTACAGTACAGTCTATGAATACAGGCTTGCTTTTCTGCAGAGATTTAGTGAACAATACCATGTCTGTTTCTAAGGGTAAAATGTATACTATATATGGTTTCAATTCAACAAGACTTATTTCCAAGAAGACATACTTGGAAGGTGAATGTGGAAGATAAAAATCTTGCATTGAGTCTATTCTTAAGCTTATTCTTACGGACAGGTCTAAGCATGAGCACGGAGTGCTGTCCTCTGAAGATGCCGGCCACAGAGAGTGGTGAAACGTTAGGAAGAACAACCTTCAGAACACGGCCAAAGAGCCCGAAAAACCCACAACAACCATACTGGAGAAATGTTTCTGCCCAAATTCCAGCTTAAGTCAATCACTTTTGTTTTAAAAACACTTGCCTGTTTGTGTAGCAAATGTCCAGTTTAATTGGTGACTTAATTGATTCTAAGATGCTAGTGTTTCTCTCGTTTACAGATAATTTTAGATAAAGTATCAGTTTGTTGGAAAAGACTTTTCTAACATCATGAAAGAAAAAGAGAGTAATATTTTATATGAAATGTGTTTTGAAATCAGTCTTTATTTGCTATAAGGTATTAAACTAGCTGAAAAGATATAATAGTACTTGTCTCAGATATTTTATGCAGTCTCTGCAGAAAAAAATTATCTTCAGCTGTCATTTCTTAATTTCCAATAAAGGTATTATAAAATAAATTTATTATAATATTTAAATATATATTTTTCTTTTAATATTTGTAAAAGAAAAACTCAAATTGACCTCGATAACATTTCCACAGTGCTACAAAAAATTAAATAAATCCATAAATGAAATATGACTGTCCTTAGTCAGGGTAGGGTCCCTTGCCATACTTTTCAGGATGTCCTAGAACAACCTTCATACCTTTTGACTCTAATTGTTGCTGGGCTTATAAGTAAGGAAAACATACCTCATGGTGATCAGCTATTGTAGCAATATGAAGAGCTGTAAGTGCCCCATAGCCAACTTGTTGAATATCGGCTCCACTGTGCAGCAAGGCTGTTAAAAGTTCTGCATTGTCCTGAAATGGAAACAATGAAATTGTTGTTTAGATAACAGTACTGGGAAAGGATGTAGCTCTCTTAAAGACCATGTGCTTTGTACGCAGAAAACTCTTGCTTCAGTCATCAGCATCTTTAGGTAGGGCCAACAATTTTTTTTTTCTGAAATGCTGGAGAGCTACTCAGTCAGCAGGGACCAAAGGCAGGGAACCTCTTTCAGGCCAAGGCATAAACTGAATTTCAGAGAAGTCCTTGTGGGACATGATCCATTGGTGGATAAAGCTGAAAAATATCAGCTTAAATTAAGATAAAGCTTTTCCTGTCAGTAAGTAAGGCACAAGCAGATGGCTGAAAAGCAGCAAGCCTGATCAGAGTGCTTCTCTCTTCCAAAGAATCCCTCCAGCCCAGTCCTCCAAAACAGAAATCCTATAGCTGGCTCAAGAAGGCCCAACTTGGGCATGGATTGGGATTGGGCTGGAGTGTAGCTCCCTGTACAGCATGAGATGGCTGGGAAACCACAGGCAGTCAAAAATGAGATTTATTTATGGGTGCAGTCACACCCTAAGTCTTAGGACAGGCATTTCAACAATTAAGAATGAAAGAAGGGGGAAAAACCCTGTAAAAATTTGGAAATATACGTAGTATCATTGTATAATTTCTAATAGTATCATGGGAAAGGGGGCACAACTATCTCAGTAACTTTAGAACACTGTTTCCCAACTTTTTTCAAGTTGCAGCCCTCTTTTATAATAACCAAGTAACCTGTGATTCCTTTGCCATACTTGCAGAAAAAGGCATTTTAACCGGGTTAAAAAAAAAACAACACTCATTAAAATAGATTTTTTTTCAGAATATAATTCTAACCTGATATATTAATATTAAATAAATAATACATAATTATGGGAGGCTGTAAATTTGCCGTACCAGATTAATTTGAGAAAGACAAATATCAATACATTTTGAATTTAATTTGCTTTTTTGGTGTGGAAATGACTTCATGTCTCCTTCTCCTAAAAAAAGTCCCCTCAGTGAAGAGCCCTCCCTCTGAAGCCTAAATAAACACCTCCCCCATGGCCCCCACACCTTTTGCCTTCTTCTTCCATGTCTCAGCCAGGGCCAGGAGGAATCTCCCTCCCCTTCTACCTTCACAGTGCCACCACTGCCACATCCAAAAGAGTGGGAGACTCAGGCAAAGTGAAATGTGCCATTGCCATGGCAACAACAACTTTTCAATCCTGCTGGGATCTTGCCTCATTCAGGCCTCTTTGAGCTGGGCTAACACTTAGGTAAAGGGTGAACATCAGTCCTCCAAAAATGGATGCAGAATTGCAGAAAGAAATGAATGACAGCATGCATAAAAAGAAAATCCACCCAAAAGGGTACAGAAATAACGAGAAATTCAAAGTTAAGTCTCTTTTGCTCTTTTGACTGAGTGCTGTCCTCTGAAGATGCCGGCCACAGACAGTGGCGAAACGTTAGGAAGAACAACCTTCAGAACACGGCCAAAGAGCCCGAAAAACCCACAACAACCAATTCAAAGTTATCTGCAATTCCAGTTCATATTAAATTTATCCATCTGTAGGCCAAGAGGATTAAAATAAAATAGCACTGTGCATACTATATTCAGTATAATAAATTTAAAAACAATGGCAACTAAAAATAACCGCTGACCTCCTAGGAGACACTTCACAAACCCCTTGGGGGTCACAACCTCCAGGTTGGGAACCTATATTCTGGAAGACTGGGTTAAGGGCTGAATGTAGACCAGTGACCGAAGTTCTGTACCCAAGGAACAGACAGTGCTAACCTAGACAAATGGACCAATGGTCTTAGTACCGTGGCTTCTATTATTTTTATCATTACACTGCTGAATAGAACCTCTGATGAAAACTTTTTATGGAAATGTCAACATAGAAACATATTCTCCTGGGAAGAGCTTAACAATCAAGTTATTTCATAAATGGATCCGGAATACAGTTCATTTGACTCACTTCTGTTTCCTCTAAATTCTGAGATATGAACAAAATTCTTCCAACAGATTAGCAAAAGAGACTTAAATATATATAAACACCTCAGCCATGGCCCCCATGGCCCCACATCTTGGTTCTCCTCCATCACTTTTCTATATATACATATATCAAGGGGAAACTAACCAGTATCAAATATCTCCCTTTTGAATTAGAGGTTCCCCAAATGAAATCTATCACATAACATATTACATTTTCCCATGAGCATTCACAGCTTGGTGTCAAATTCAAATTAATGAATAAAATAGCTATGATATTGTAACAGGTATTCATAGTTTGTATTTCAGCCTCAGTTATCTGACACCTTAGACCAGTGGTTCTTAACGTGGGCGATAATGCCCCCCAGGGGGCGATTTCATTTTTCAGGGGGGCAGTAGAACGAAAAGGGGCAGTGTGGGGGCGCTGGA